CTTTGTGTTGTCAGATCAAAAACGAGGATCAAGAAAAAGTGGGAAATTCCTATTAGAAAGGCAGCAACTGACGTTGTCTGTGTAAAGCCAAAAGTGTATGTATGTGTACAAGACGAAGGGCGAATCATGCTGGTTGACAAAGATGGGAATATTGAAAATGAAAATGTACTTGAGAGTATTCTGCAGTGTCGACCACACAAACTGAGTGTCTGCGACGATAACTTACTGGTGAAATCGTTCGAAGAAACAAGGTGGAGAAATCTTGTATTTGCAAAACAAAAGATAACAGGCGTATAAGATATTAATTATGACATCTAAACAAAATGTCTCAAAAACGTTTTTCATAGCCTGAATACCATTTTGACGAATTTGATGAGAGTCATGATTTGGCGAAAGAATATTGTCTAAGATATGTGTGAAAAGATTTCCTGATGAATAACACGACGTGTATAGTAATATAGAGAAATGCGTAATTGCTCTTTATTGATATTTAAAGAAATGCACAAATGCACTATATTTGGAAGGAATATCTTAAAATAAACAACATTTTTACATAATGTTGACACGTTACTAGTAAGATTTTTTTAAAAACACTAGATAAGGCATATTGTAGGCAGATAAATAAACATTGTATGTAAAATTTACCGCTTTTACCGTCTAGTATACTAGCAATTGACTAAACGCAAAGTGAATGGGCTCTTGAAAAAGAGTACTATATAATGCCGAATATTTGGTTTATTTTCTTATACAAAGTTTCTACTCGCATAAAATAGTTTATATAGTAGAGGAATGTCAATGGCAAATAGATAAAAAATAAACTTTTATATGTTATAAGTGTTTGTCCAATGGGATTGCATTATTTCAAAAGAATCGTAACACATTTACTTTGGAAAATCGGCACACTGACCAATTTCATAGTGTAAATAGTACTGAAAAACTTTACCCTATACAAGAAGATGATCGATGATATTTTTTATTGAATTGTATTGGTGATGTTGGAGGGGCAGGTTTGTGTTTTGTCTTCATGTTTGCATGTTCTGTACCTGGAAGAGCAAATTATGGACTGAAATAAAAGTATCGCGGAAACAAAAACAGCATGTCGGAGCATTTTATACGAGAGATGTATCTTCTGTTGAGAGGACTTAATGACATGCAACAAGAGGATTTTTTACCTTGACCTTTGACCTCAAAAGCATAGGGATCTTTTACTGGCTATACATATATAGGCTTAATCCTTCGCAAATAGATGATCAGAAAATGATTTTACGGAAAATTATCACTATGACTTTGAATTTTGGCCCAATTTGACCGAAAAATCAATTAAGGGTTATTTACTGGTCAAGAGCGAAGTCCTAACCGCAAAAACCTAGATAAATTCCTTTTAAATTTATCATCGGAAATGGACTTTACACAAAGTGTCAATGTGACCTTGAACTTTTACCCGATGACCTTATATTTACTTGCCAAAGATGATGTCCCTTCTACCAAGTTTCAAAATCTAAAATTAATCCATCACCAGTTATTGAGCAGATAAGGATTTACACTGTCCTTGTTGCCTTTGACCTAAAGAGCTAAATGTCAATTTGCCATATGTAATGTCCATACCAAGTTTCACAAACTTAGGCTTTTTCCTTCTCAAATCAATTATCAGACAAATATGTCACTGCGACCATGACCTAATCAGCTTTAAATCGGAAGGGGTCATCTACTGGTCATGGGCCCTAACAAGATATTATGCTACTTTTACAAGTAGGGTTTTAACCATTAATAAAGTGCAATTCGCCATTAATAAATAACATTAAAAACATAGTCATTCATACACGCGTTTTCGAGTTATTCTTTTTCAACATTCAATCAAACTGAAACATGTAATAACAGATATATAGATTTACACACTTGAATGAACTGGAAAAGAAGGTTTACGAAGATATACACTTATCATTAGTATCATTAAATTATTAGATAGATGATTTTTTAAATGAAGAATTGTGAGTAATTATTTCTCATTAATGTAGGAGTTAAGGCGTGTTTCAAACAAAAAACCCATCTACCTATAATAAACTAATGAATGTCCAGCTCACCGGTCAATCAAGACACAATTTTAATTAAATAAATAGGAGTAACAACACAAATATAGCGATGATAAAGTACAAGAAATTTTGGATGCTTGTTGTCATTTCAAACTAGCTATGTAAATGATGTAACGGATGTGAACATGGCAACGTATCACAGACAGCCCATATATGCGTAATGCTAGACAAGGAGGAGAAATTAAATTATCCCCTTGCTAGAATACTACTTAATTTATATCAACACTTGGCCAAAATCGTAAAATGGGCTAATCAAATGGCGACCGGAATGTTTGGTCAAAGCAGTAAATTTGAGGTAAGGCCTAAACAGAGACAGTTACTAGTAACCAGTAATTTATATAGGGGTTCCTTACGTGCCGTCTCGTTTTCAGGCAGTCCAAAACTGCGTTTTGCACATCATTTCAGTAATATAAATATTTCTGCCAAATAGATTTAATTTCTTACTATCGGTTTAAAAGAAACAAAGCGGACACAAAATTTTGAAATTGATACAAAATGACGAAGTGTGACCTTGACCTGAGAAAGATCAAACATGCGCTCTGCACTTCGTCTCATTATGGTTAACATTTCTTCCAAGAAGTTTCAATTTCCTTCCACCGGTTCAAAAGATATAGACAGGACACAAGAACTTCTATATAAGTGTGTATATATCAATTTATCCCCGTGGTGGGAAAAAATTTAATCGTAGGAAGTCCAAACTTATGTCCTGCACACCGTCTAAATATAAGTAATATTTCTGCCAAAAAGTTTTAATTTCTTTCTATCGGTTCAAAAGATACAGAGTGGACACACATTTTTGATATTCAAACAAAATGACTATGTGTGACCTAGACCTCAGAAAGATCAAACCTGCGCTCTGCACTTCGTCTTATTATTGTTAACATTTCTGCCAAGAAGTTTCAAATTCCTTCCACCGGTTCAAATAATGCAGAGCGGACAAGAAAATCTGCTAACAGACAGATGGACAACCAGGTGCATCATTCTCTTTTGTTCTGTTTACAGTTAGACTGCTGCTTATTTATTTCATTAGTGTGGAGGAACAGCCAGAGGCAAACTCCAAATTTATACCACTCCGGCTTTGACAGTGGATAATAAAGTATGAAATTTCAAAACCATAATGAAATATTAATCCAATGCAAAGAACAATTTGACTGCCCAAGCAGTCCTCGAATACAAATACATGTTAAAATACATAATGTATATTGAGCTTAAACTGATAAAATAAAAGCTGCAATGGCAACCTGGTAAAGTTTTTTTTATAAAATAGGCTTTAAAAAATAATAACATCAGAATGGTTGATCATATTTTAATGTTTCATTTACCAACATTATGCTTCTTATGTGTAAATTTTAAGGATTTCGATTAACAAAATATCATAGTTATATACAAAAGCATTTTGTATCTATACTGAGCATGTAACAAATTACATATAACACAACAAAATGTACGTAGTCTAATGCCATTAACCTGTCACAAAGAAACCATCTTGTAAATGTATTGCCTAAAATAAATACATGTACATGTATTACACGTTTACTGAATTATCCCTAGGTTGATTTCAAAAGTATAACTTGAAGAAAACAGTGCAAAGTTATCCCTATCTACATCAAAGCAGATTTACAGATTCTGTTACACAAAAATCTGGAAAAATGATAAAGAGAAGGCTGTCTAAATGCAGACTTACACAGAAATATGCCAACATTTTAAGCTTTAAAACTAGAATTAATCCACAAGTGTTCTATTTTGTCCAGTACAATATTTACGATCATTGAAATATTACTAATTCGTTGACAGGGTTAATGAAATGAGACAAAAACTTGTAGTTATAACACTACACAGGAATCTTATCTCTTTTTCTATTATCTATGTAAACAATATGTCCAAAAACATCAAAAGCTAGTTGTATGCCTTATTCTTTTGTTCTGATTGAGCATTTTAAAGCAAATATCCTAAACCCACAATAAACAATGTAACAGAAAAAAGTGGAGACACAATGTTTCTTAACATTAATTAATGATTTCTCATTCAAATCCTTCACCTCCTGAATTCAAGAAATGGATTTGCCCTGCTTTGAATTTGGAACAGTTCATTCAAATTTTAAGGGATTTCAATACCAAAATACAGAAATGTTCAAGCCGGCCTGGTGGCAAAGACTAATCACTTTCAGTTACAGAATACTAATGGGTTAAAATACAACAAGACCTAATAAAGTTTCAATCCAATAACAAAACTTAACAGAGAAAAATTTATAAACTAAAACCAAAAAGAATTAAAATAATCAATAATAGAAAAAACAACAAAAAAATGACAAATATGGCTCTAGTATAACGTTCTCAAACTAACAAAAATTAGGAATAGTTAAAATACAACAGAACAGTATAGAAAAAGAATGATTCTTAAAATAAATTTGCTGTATGTAATGTATTCTAAGATTAATGATGGTCCATCCCCCCTTTCAGGCACTGAGAGTACAGACCTCGATAAATGTGATGTGCATTAGTACACGTATATACATGTATCTATGTTTATATAATGATTATACGGACATGCACATATCTGTGCCATTTGTTACACAAAGCTATCATTATAAACATAAAGACTGTAACAGCTGATATCAAGTGCATGAATCATAAATTCAATATTTCAGATAACATTCTTTAACCAACATTAAAACTTGGCGTTTAATTCTTCTGTTTAATACATAGTCCTGGTATCTATACATATATGCTTTGTAACTACATATTTTTGCACACAAAAAAATATTAGTTTCTATTCCTGATTTAAGAACAAAAATCCCTCATCATAAGATCTCTTACTTAAAACTAATGAAGTTTAATGCTGCATTCATTTTCATTCTTTTAAAATTGCCAGGAAAAATTTGAAGTGTGAGCAACTTGGACAAGGTACATCTTAAAGGGACTCCACTGAGGTTTTTTGACAAGACAGGACTTGAAATAATTTTTAAAGATAAATATTTTATTTGATATAGGTACAGACCTATAATGTTTGTGCAAAATTTTAGATTATTGTCTAACAACATTTTACCAGAATAATTTATTCTAATAATTATGAAATATGACCAAAAAGTGTTGCAACAGACTAAGAACAGCACAAAAATACAATTTTCAAATAATTTTCGATTCTATCTCTTTACTATCTTTTGCACATCCTTGTGTTTGAAGTACCCCAGCTAATCTGTGTCAAAAATTTGAATCTAATGTTTTTTTGGTTTATGGACCTCAATGAAATTCCTTTAAAAGTAAAATATGATAGGCTCATACAAACAGCACAATCAATGACCATTTTATACATATAAAATACCCAACAAAAATGAAATCCATTCAATGGATTAACAAGTATTTTATAACAAACAGTTTTAATTCCCAACAAACATGATTCTGATTGACTGAAAAATAATTGTACAAGCACAAAATTAAACAGATTTTCCATGCATTATTCTCCATGATTCATCGATGTGTGTTTTTATATAACAAGTGTGAAATGTGTTTCTTAATATCAAGACTCAAACAAACAAAAAACAAACAAACAAAAAAAATCCTTTTTTTGTCACATTGCACATAAAGTTCAAAATTGTAAAGTAAGTTATTTTAACAATTTTTTGTTTCAGTTGTCAATCTGATTTAATAATTCAATTTGTGTTAAGTTTCTAATTAAAAATATAAGTATAACAATATCGAAGAGCACAGTATCAAAGTTTGGGAGATAAAAACTTCCTTAACAACAACTGGCTGTTTCCAATCTACAGATATACAAAAGCAGGCGTTATAACCTTAAAAATTTATAATAGCTGGTTTTGAAAACTTTATATTAGGTATAAAGATATGCCAATTACATGAACTACTAATTAAAACAGATACAGTTTTATCAAATGAACATGACACAAGTTTTTTATTACTTACATCACAGTCAAATATCACAGTTCCGCTCAAAATCTCGCACACATATAGCGCAAAGTGATCAAATATTTGTAGAAAACCCCTTACCATAGATTAGAAAAGAAAAAGACTTGAGACAAATATAATCTTATTTGTCTCAAATATCAGTAAGGATAATTCAATTAATGTAATAGTTCCTTCAGAAATATACAAATTATATTTATCTTTTCATCTGTATATAATTTGTGATTCCACAAATGATGGCTGAAAACTCAGAGCATGAACACTCTTATGCGTAAAACTTCTCCATTTCCATGTGAGTGAATTCTTTGATCTGATGATGATGAACATTGTAAATGTAGCACAACCTACAACCAACATCAAACGTATGGCTCAAAGTGCTTTATTCAACCCCAAAATACTGGCTTTTTAACATGGTCAACAAACCAAACTCTGTAATCACTAAACAAATAAGCACCTTCCCATTAAAAAAACAGATGAAGTTTTGTATCTCATACATGAGATACCTTATCATTATATTCTACTCGTAATTACGAGTCGAATTTTTCACGTATGATAAGCAGTTTGTAATAACAAAACATGGAGGTCTTGTCATGTGTACGTTCCGATATCTTTTAGAGACAGCCGAAGACAGAATGATATCAATTCACATTGACTGCAGGTGGCGGTGAAGGGAACAAGGACGTGAAAAATGTTGAGACAAATGTCCATGAGACTTGTAACACGCCCGGTTCAGGTGGGGTCACAGTCTGTGCCGGGGTTTCAGTTGGATTTCCCTCTTCGGTATTGACATTATTCTCCTGTAAATTGACAGAATTGTAAAATTTATTAAAGTTTTATTTTTTTTTTAATTTTCGGTTGGATTTTACATCAAATCAACACAGTTTAGGTCATATTGCCATTTTCCAGCTTTTCTGGTGGCAGAAGAACTCAGTTGCCCCTCTGTGCCTTATATCAGGCACAAATAGACAATCAATTTTCCCTAAGCCAGCTGGATAGCTTCCACAAATGAAAGAAACCAAAGTCTCTGTCGGGATTAAAAAACCCATGATGGTGAGGGGCGAGTGGTTTGAAGTCAACAATTTCAATCCTGTTTAAACCACAGGTGCTAGACAACACTATCAATATACATGTACCTGTATACGCTTATATATTATATATAAAGAATATATTCTTATATCTAAGAAACAAAAATTCTTCACATGTAGTATATAAGCATATACAGGTATATTAATAATATGTCTAGTGCCTGTGGTATAGATAAAGGAATAACTGTTATAAAACTATTATGTTCTAAGTGCAAACTTCTACATCATGTCCTTTTTTATGAAACAGATGTTCATTATTATATACAGTCCACAGATATTAATGATTTAACAAGAGCTGTCCGTAAGACAGCGCGCTCGACTTTTTTATTGCTTGCCAATAAAAAAAGTTTTTGCAGTAATACAAAACATTGACAGTTAAGGGCCATAATTCAAATAAAATCTTTGACAGAATTACCTTCTCCTGGACATGTTTGGGAATCATGATTGTAAACAAGTATTCCAACTTTCAAATTAATATCTCAAACAGTTCAGTCAAAAAGTGGACTGGTACTAAAAACTTAACCAAGATTCTAAGTCGATAAAAGGCCTTAATTTTTAAAACAAATCCTTGACAGAGTTACCTTCTCTTGCGTACAGATGGGGGTAATGATGTGAAAAGTGTGCATTAAAAGTTTCAAAGCAATATCTCAAAGGGTTAAGGCAATAAGTGGATTTTACCCATATTCAATGTATTTTCTAAGTCAAAAAGGGGCATAATTCTGTCAAAAACATTGACAGAGTTATGTCCTCTTGTCTGTTGATGAAGGTCGTGATGGTAAACAAGTATGGTCAGTTTCAAAGCAATACCTCCAATGGTTTTGAAATAAAGTGAGGTGGTACAAAAAACTTAACCAAGCTCAATACACTTTCTAAGTCAAAAAAGGGCCATAATTCTGTCAAAAACCTTGACAGAGTTATGTACTCTTGTCTGTAGATGGAGGTTATGATGGTGAACAAGTATGGTAAGTTTCAAAGCCATACTTGTAATACTTCTGAAATAAAGTGGGGTGGTACGAAAAACTTAACCAAGGTGTGACGCCAACGCCGACGCCGACGCCGACGCCGGGGCGAGTAGGATAGCTCCCCTTTTCATAGAAAAGTCGAGCTAATAATACAAATGTAAAAACAAACCTGTTCTGTATTATTTTCTTCTTGTTGCTGATTATTTGGTACTTGGGGTTCATTAGGTGGATTGTTGGGTTGATTATTTGGTACTTGTGGTTCATTTGGAGGATTATTGGGCTGATTATTTACATTCTGTGCATTCGGTTGATTCACTCGTCTCCTTCTCAAGAAAAAGAATCCCATTTGGTATCTAAAGTGTAAAAGAATATCCCAAATAAAGCCTTTTTACAGAAAATGATAAATAAGTAGTGTCACTAGTCTTGTCAATACCAAAATTTCCAAACATCCATTTACAAACACTGCACAAATGCAGCATGTATCAGAGAAATAAAATAAATATTGCTTCCTGGTTCCGTTATTTTTATTTTAATTCTCACATACTTTTAATATGCCAAAGAATGTGTTTAAACTTTGAACTATACAAAACAGCCAAATGGCACAGGCAAAGTAAGCGTAATACAATCTGATAAATCTGTTATGTTTTAAAGAGGACTGGTCTACATTGGGCACTTTTTTTCATAGGTATTTGAGCCGCGTCACGACAAAACCAACGTAATGCGTTTGCAACCAGCATGGATCCAGACCAGCCTGCGCATCCGCGCAGTCTGATCAGGATCCATGCTGTTTGCTATCAGTTTCTCTACTTGTAATAGGGTTTGTAAGCGAACAGCATGGATCCTGATCAGACTGCGCGGATGCGCAGGCTGGTCTGGATCCATGCTGGTCGCAAACCCATTATGTTGGTTTTGTCGTGACGCGACTCATTTCTTTTTGTTGTTTTTTTGTTTGGTTTTATGGCCCATTAGTACAGTTGAGGTCATATGGGGACTTTCCAGCTTTACTGGTGGAGGCAAGCCTCAGGGGCCCCTCAATGCATTATTACAATTTAAAGGCACAAACAACACCTGAGTATTACCACTGACATTCCATCAGCTAGCTGGATAGCTTCCCCACATGAAAGAATCTTGCTTTCAAATATTGATGAAAACAATAGAAATGTATCATTCAGATATTCATATACAATATTTCTTGAAAAAAAAAATGTTGATTGAGGGTTCCAAGTAATTAAGAATGAATATTTATTTGATGAAAAATAATATGTTTTGAATAATTATTATCTGTCAGGCAGCTCGCACTTAACAACAACATCTATTTTTATATTTCTTTCATGGTTTGTTGCCATTTATAATCATAAATACTATCAACATAATTCTCTATGGTATATGGGACATGCCCTTATGGAACAATTCACTTGAAAGAAATCATTTGATTTCTCATTAAGAAAATAATCTAAATTTAAGTAGCTTGAAATAAGTCTGTCAAAAAAGCAAATCCAAATTAGACTTACGCATACACAACCAGGAAAAATGCAGCAACCATCAAGAATCTGGTAATATTTGAGTAAAAATACACAATTCCAAGTAGCACCATAAATCTACTGAATGTATATAGATAGTCCAACCAGTCTCGCTGGCGGAATTCTTCATCTAAATCCTCCATTTCTTCAACATTCTCTTGGGCCTGGTTCACATTTTCTTGCCCATTTTGTTGCTGGGGCGCAGCCTGGCCAACAGGTGGAGTCACTGGAGTATTTGGTGGAACAGGATATACACCCTGTTGATAGCTGAAGGGTAAAATTTACAAGGTGAATATTTTTTTTTTAATTAACTTTGCATACTATTTTTTTTTAAAAACGCATTGTTGTATACTCCTGAAAATGTTTTGTTACCAAATAACAGGAGTGTATTGAACTGTAAGAAAAACATCCTTTACAAGTGTGGGCTGTATCAAGATTTTTACATAAAGAAAGTGATGAATTAAATTAAAAACCCTTAGTGTATTATAGAATTTCAAACAAAGTTTATTTTTGAATTTGTAAAGTTGTATTTTAAACAATTAAAGTTTATTAATGATTTATGTTGAAATATTTGTAATGAAAATATAATAATTGTTATTAGCAATGAAACATGTCTTGATCAACATCTGAAAATAACAGTGTTGTTAAATTTTCTAAATGAGAAAACCATCCCAGATAACAATCTATTCCTCTTTTAAATAGCATTAATACTTATTGCAGTATACAGACTTAACTACGTCAATTACCTATTTTGTTCAGTTCATACAGATTATAAAAGATTGTGTACTCATTGAAGAGTCACTACTTCTAATATAGGGAGAATACTTATAATATATAAGCACAATTAGGCAGACCAACATTGATATAGCACCAATCTTAAAACAGATTTAACTTACTATTGCATGTACTGGGCCATGTACTGGGCATACATCTGTTGCATCCATAAGTACTGCTCGGGACTGTAAGCCATGCCACTATCTGGCATCATGCCAGCAAACATGGCCGCCTCTCCTGGAAATCCAGCAGGAAATGCGGCTCCCATCTGATTCATGTTACCAGGGAACTGATTCATTGCTGGCATCTGGGGACTATAAAATATAACATAACATCTACAGTATAAGATATAGGAATGATATCATAATTAGTTTTCAAATTGTGTACTTTTCTTTCACCATGTTTATATATAACCCTAATGAAGACTCATGAGAGTGGAAAAGTTGGTTATCATCATTAAATAAACCTTAAAACATATTGTTTGTTCCACTTATCATCATTAAATAAACCTTAAAACATATTGTTTGTTCCACTTATGTCATTTTTCTTTATATATAGATGGAAAATCTGGAATTGACATAAGTCAGTAACTTGCGCGATTACATTTCATTATTTCATTAGGTTTTAATAATGCTGTGTGTTCAAAAGCAACACAAACAACCTGGAACAAAAGTACAACTAAAATGCTTTTATTCAATTCTTTAATGGGATCTCAATATAATTTAATCATAGAATTGTCAATTATCTAACAGGTGCATATATTTTAAGTCATTTTTATTTACAATGCTTATATTTCATTAGCAAAACAACACACAGTTGCGTTGATTATTTTCATAAAATCAAAATTTATAACATACTTTCTGTAGTTACATTTAAAATGAAAAAAAATTTTTTCTTGAAAAGACAATTATAAATTTTTTCAAAAACAAAATCATACAACCTAAGGTATTAACACTTTTGGGTTATTTGTTCACTAATTGAGAACTACTCTTTGATGGTTTTCTATGCCCTCTATGACGTAACCCTCAGGTTTTGGGGAAAAAATCTGCAGAGCTGGAACATTTTGTCTAGAATGTTCTGAGTTCCACAAATAATAACAGAAAATTTTAAAACAAAAAAGTCAAATAGAAATCTAAAAAAAAGTCATTAAATTTAAAAAAGGAATGAAAAAAAAAGATTTGAAAAAAAATATTTTATCAATAAAACATATATGGGGAACAGTCCTTTTTAAAGGGTTTGGGCATAAGGACTAATACATAAGTTATTCGGATACCGGTATATTTACATGTATGTTGAAAACTTGAAATTAATGAAATCTTCACTAGCAATTGTACACAGAATGATTTAAATTGAAGTAATTCTCTCTCAACTTCCTCAATGGTGTTTCTGACAGACTGTATTACAATTTGTAAATATAAAATAAAAGTACATACAGACAAAATCAACTACAAGATATCTTAAACATTTAAATTGATTGAAATAAAGTCTCAGCAAAGAAAAGGCTCAGTTTTAATTCTCATGATTTAACAAAACTCACATTTGTGTTAGGAAATGGTGTAGATCTGTATTCATGCCCTGGCGATGCTGAACACACTAAATGCACTGTATGTTTAGTACTGCCATCATCAAACTGAAATGAAACATGTTCATTAAAACATTGATATCTATGCAGCAGAAATACAAGAAAAATTGTCTTGACTGGCATGATTAATGAATTAAAGTGAATGTTATGCTAAACAACAATTACTTGTACTATAAACACATGTCAATCATGATTTTTAAGATAGAATTAATTCCGTTAAAACATGATCTAGAACTATAGTAACTTAGCATCTATATAGTAAATATCTTATGTATATATTCACTCACATATATATAGAAGCTTAATGGTTTTTAACAAAAAGCCTCATAAAAGTAGCCATAGATAAGTTACATACATTTCAGTATCACAGATCTTAAAATTTCGTAAACGACAAAAGCATAATTGACAACATTCTACAATATTGCAACTTTATAGCATTAAATTTTAATGAAGCAGGCAAATTTAATTGTGACCATAAAACTAATTTCTCCAATTCATATACATACACATGTATGCTGATAATAGATTATGAATGATTGCATTTGTACTCTTTGAAGAGACAATACTTTTATAATACAGCCAGAATACATACATTGTATAAGCACAAATTGGTGTTTTTCTATTAATAAATATACTTAACAAAGCTTGCTTGACTTAAATACAAGAAAACATTCCAAAATTGTTATTCTGTGAAATTACCTGACGAAGAACTTCCTTCAGTGTTAGATGATCCTGTAAAAGTTTTCCAGAGTATATGAGCTTTTGTTGAGTTTCATTCTAAAATATAGAATATACTGACACATAGATAAAATGCACAGAACATTCAATGGTCCAAATATGCTAAACCATGGTGAGCAATATGAAAATGTATTTAAATCACTACAGAATTTATTTATCACACAACTGACATAGATGACAATTGCTTT